AGACAACTACCGGAATAGATTGAATTTAAATCAAATTAAATTAAAATACTCTACAAACTAAATAAAAACCAGGCTAACAAAAGTTTACTTGCGTTCTTAACTTACGCGCGTTACAATTCTAGTTCGATTAAGAATCTGTACCACCGCTGATGGTTTATTGAACAGAAGAGAGGAAATAAATAAACCGTTACAGATAGGACGCATCTCATCGGCAGTTGCTATTCTAAATAAATCTAAACTCACATTAGATTATTCAACCCGTCATGTGCCCACCTCCGGATAGTTGCTATTAAAAATAAAATAATAATTTATTATTTGTAATTTATAATTGTTTGATGTTAAATCAATCGATTAACGCAATTACAATAAATATAATAGCAATAATGATAATAATAAGAGTGATAGTGATGTTTAGCCGCATACAAATGTTACTTCCGACACTTTTACAGACGTCGTGACCCTAATAATCTTCAGTTGCATGGCAAGGAGGCAACAACAAGCGGCTATATCGGGTTTTATTTTACGAGATGGGTTTATAAGACAATAGAGATGTTTCTGAATATTATCGTCCTATTTCTTAACCAGTTACAATTCATTTTTATTATTTTCTTCCTTCATTACTTCATTTTTTTTTAATTTTATCCGAATTATTTTTAGAATTATTTTTTTGGTTCAAAATTTTTTTTCTTTAATTAAACACATTTTTTTATCAGTATAAATATTTTATAAAATTTAACTTTAATTGAAATACATTAAAAATATTAATTTATTTAAAAAAAAAATTTTTTTCTTAATAGCCGGTCTCTAGATTGCAATTTTATATTTCTCTCTTAGACAAAGAAGAACTTTGAAAAAAAACGCTCTGCTACGTAATAGATTTTTTAATTATCTATACGGAGAAAAATTAATTATACTACCTACTATACAAAAATAGTAACTCCTAGTATCTAAAATGGTAATAAAATTAATTAGTAACAAAATAATAGGTGGTATCATTGACAATTGTAATAGTTACTATCAATAATGATAACGATTACTGTTGAAAATAATAATTGTAATTATTAGAAATTATAACTGTTACAATCGAAGATGGTAACTGTAACCATCTTAGATTGTAAAAATTCTGAAAGAAAAAATAATATAAATTTAATTAATTATATCCTTTATTTACATCCATATTTTAGCTAATGTACATTATTTTCTTTGAAATATTATAATATTTTGAATTCCTTTCAAATTTTTTTTTTTTAAATTTGATTTTTTTGAAGATTTCAAATTTATTTGAAAAATTTTGCGTTGAAACTTGTTTTAGACAAATAAAAATTTAAATATAATTCCAATCCGAATTTAATTCCAATTTTTTGTGCACTACAGCTGCTTTTCCTTTATTCAGAAATGCATCCACGGTAACGCAGATTCTTAATTTTTTTTAAATTTTTTATTAGCTTAGATAGTAGTTATTATTATTACTGATGGTAACTGCAACCATCAGGTTATATTAGGAATTACGATTTTGATAATAGTAGTAACTAATTAAAATAATAACAGTTATTATTACTGATTACCATCATAATAGTAGTACTTGCCATCAGAATGATAAATACTACAATTCAGATAGTTTATTCAATTATTAAAATAAATATTTGCTACTATCGAATTCAGTTAATAGATTTTAACATAACTAAATAATAAATTCTACTATAAAATTTTCTCCGTGTATTTCGTAGCAGAGCTTTTTTTTCGAAATTCTCATTTGTTTAAAAGAAAAACATAAAACTGCAACAGCTTTATAATTATGAGTGTAACAAGGATAGTACCGTTTTTTGCAGTGAGTGCGACGCGAGAAAAAGAGGGGACTGTTAAGAAAATAATTGTCAAAATATTAAAAGTATAGAAGATAAAACAAGTTGGACATTAATTGATTTAGTAAAGAGAAAATATCTCCAATCAGTGTCGGAACTTTGACGTGATCAGTATTAAATAGCACTTTCCATCCATCTGGTTGACTAGAGTATCAACGCGACTAGAGTTACAATAAAAATTAAATATATAGCCAGGACTGGTGAGTAGAGGCTGAGGATCGGTAATAGTAATAGTAATAATAACAAGCAACCAAAGAGTCTTGGTGTTTCGCAAGCCTCGGATATCCGCGGTACGGTCTTAGAGTACCGAGTAGAGTAACAAGTGTCGGGTTCAGACGGAGACTTCTCAGAAGTGTCTCGAGAAAATGAAATTTTTTCCTGCTAGTCCATTATCACGTCGCCGTTTGTCCTCATCAGTGATATCTTTATTTTCATTTAGATTTAGAGCTGATGCTGTTATGTACTATTATATACTATTATACTATTACGCTCGATGTCGCCCATAGTTTACATTCATAAGCCGGCGAGTCATTGCGTCTACTCGTGAGAACTCCATTTTCATTCTCATTGTTTTGTTGTATTGTACCGTAATAGTAATAGTAATAGTAATAAGTATCATCTTCACACTGACGACTTTAAACTCACAACTCACTGCTTTTATTTTATTAACATTTTTTATAGTCGCTAATTTTGTTGCTTTATATTTAACCTTCTTAAATAATTACCCAGAATTCCATTATTCTTTTTATTATTTGTCGTAATCGTAATCGTTGGAATTTTCTTTAGTAATTTTTTTTAACCATTTCATTTCAATTGTTCAATTATTCTCCCGGTTAATTGTTTTACGCGGAATTAAATTATTTAAAAGCTCCACTTATTTATTTCAATAGATATATTTTTTTTTTAATTTTTTAGGAAGTTAAAATTTTTTAATTTAAAAAAATGAAATTTTATTATTTTTAATTTACTATAAAATTTTTTTTTTAATTAAAATTAAAAATTTAAGAAAAAAGTACTTTTTTTTACAGTGAATAAAATTTTCTACAACAGAACTCTCTTATAATTTTGTAAAAGTATATTTGAAATTTAAAAATTTGACCCTGGGATTTAAGGCGGATTAAAAATAAAATTTCATTGATAAAGATTTTGACGTCAGAGATTGAATTGAAGCTACCAAGTAAAATGGGACACTAAATGTATGTACAATAAATAAAAGCGCGTACAAGGAAGAGAGTAAGAATGTATGAATAAATAGAAGGACAAAACTCGGGAACGCACACAAGAAGAACAAGGAAAAAAGATAAATAATACGAGGGATCTGTGTATACAAAGTTTAAACAAAGAATCCCCGATAAATATCCGCGAGCTCAACAAAGAGAGAAACAAAAAAATAGTGTCTTATACCGATTGCGTTGACTAACAAACGATCATTTCGTGGTAGTACCGGCTGAATATTTCATGAGTAACATTATATTAACTCGTATCGAGTCTAAGTACTCAGATATCGGTAAAATTCCTCTGTCGGAATTATCTTTTATTATTTTTTAGGATCTAATTTACAGTTAGTGGATTTTCATATTTGAAAAATAATTAGATGATTACATTTGCCTATAAGCGAGCTGCTCTCAGTTGGTCATTTGAAAGTCTGTTCACTCTATACGACAGAATAGAAGTAGGTGAGGATTTATTAAAATCGGAATTTATCTCCGGAAAATCACCTGGTTCTACTTTTAAATGAAAATTACATTACCGCACAATCCTAAAGCGAAAAAATAAAACGGTACAACTCAAATGGAATTAAAATAGAGTACAAATGTACATATGATTTTTAAGATAGACAGAATACGCCTCCGCTGTACACGTGAAAAGTCGTTACGTATCAATCATACCGGTTGACATCTATAAGTGAATAAAAGGATTTGTTGTAAAACGCGAGCAGCTACAACGTGAACTGGACCTTTATACTTATAACTTCTATTGATATTCTCGGATTCTGGTATCTGTTGTCATGTATCTTGCTTCACAACTTGTTTTTCTGAGCTCTGCTCTGTCACTATTCAACTATTATGGAAAAGCTAATCTCGTTGTTTATCTCCGTAAAGAAGACGTCGTAATCTGTACCCGCATGAATTGTTAATTACTTTTTTATCCACGCTGCAATTTATTCGATAATATTCGAAAAAAGTTTATTACTCTTCTTGTACTGACAAAAAAATTATTGATTCAAGAATTTTTTTTTTAAATTCAAGATAGTATATTAAATTTTTTTTTCATAAGTCCTTACACGGAAAAAAGTAAACTGTAATAAATAACAGTCGATTTATAATAAGTAATGATCAACTGCTAAAAAATACCATTTAAACGTTACAATTTACTCTTTACATGGAAGAAAATACTATTTCAAACAGTAATATTCGCTATGTAAATGTCTAAAATGTTTAAGTATAACAATTAAGAATTCAGACTTTGACATTTATCATTTCGTGCCTAAAAAATGATCTTATGATATGTAAAAAGTATAAAATAAAGTTAGTAAATTTCTAATACAAGCAACGTCAATATTTACAAAGTAAAACGGTAAATTTTAAACGCAACGCTAAAAATCAAACTGTAATTATTGACTTGCTTGGACTGGTAAAATGTATATTTTAAAAGTATAATTTTTACTGTTTCAAATGTTAAATTCTCCCTGAGTGAGTTCCCCTTCCCCTTCTCCTTATAATATGGACTATATATTGAAATGGCAATTTTTACTGTTTGAAACTGTAATTTTTAAAGATGAAAGAATCGTTATTTACTATAGTGAAAACTACTAATCACTTATTTTAGATATTAAATTATAAATAGTGGCTTTTATACTTTCTACATTAAGTTCTGTAATATTTACATTTTTGCCACCCCGATGTCCGCTTTACTGTTTGAAACTATAAAAATTAACCGGAATCCGGGTGAATATTACAGTTTACTTTTCTCCGTGTATCAATGCGATTATATTTTTTTTAAATCTTTAAAAAATGAATCTGATGGCTTTTTTTACAAATTTTTTTTAAACTAATAAAGCAAAAATCAAAAATTGAAACAAAAATTTCAAGGTTAAAAATAAAAACCGTGAGAGTTAAATGAAAGAGAAACTCATACCGACAAGTTGTAGCGCCTTCAGGGAGAAAAAGAGGAATCGTTTGCCACCGTTTACAGTACACCGGTAGTTCGGTATTGAGTCCAGTGTACTCGACTAACCAAAGGTGATATAAAGGAATGGAAGGTATCATACGGACGTACTGAGGAAATAAAGCGTGTCGGATCTCTTTTACAGGAGTTTCATCCTTGCCTATCCTATCCTACACTGTGCACTCTATATGTATATATTCAATAGCACTATCCCTGGTAATATAAAGCTTGCTGACGTTAATTCACCGTTTGAGCTCAACTCAACACGCCGAGAGTGTAACTATAACTACTACCATACATTGCTAAAGCTTCACCTCAGTCCTGATTCTGATACTAACTAAGTATAAGTACCTACAAAGTGAAAGACCTTTGCTACGGTCCTTTTATTTCAGTTAAGTTTCAGATTAACTGCTGTATAGACACAAGCTCTTAAATATATAACACAGTCGACTCTGTATTTGTACCAGGGAGGAGAAAGACTTACGTAATTATTAGCAGGGCTCAGTCGTAGATCTTCATTAATTTGACAACACCAACCATCAATCCTATTTTTTCCCACTATCCTTTTATTTAATAATTCAACTTGGTTAATTATTATTTTTTTATAAACTTTCTCTTGATTTTAAAATAAATAAATAATTACAATATTATTGAAATTTAATAGAGTGTGAAATAAAAAATAAAAATCAGTATAATTTAATGACTTAATTTTATTATAATTGAAAATTAATGAAGAGAAGTGATACTGATCTAATTGTAAATTGTAAATGTTTAATTAGTTAATGAATCAAAGTCAGAAGGAGGCGGATAATTAAAATTAGCATATTTGCGGTGCAGATATTTAGATAAATCAGGAAGTAAACTAACGATTGAAGGATTAATGTATCGAGATTAGAAGTTATGTCCTCAGTAGTATAAATATATTAAGTATTGAGAGTGGAGGAACTCGAGACATTATTTCCCATACTATTCTCAGTACTCACTACTCACTACTCAGTGCTCAGTACACTCAGTACGATACCTACACGGTTATATCATTGATAGACAAGGTAAAGGCGGCTGGCTGGATATAGGATAAGAGATGCGAGAGTGTTGTGAGCATACACCCTTGGTGAAGTTAGGCGCGTGAAAAAATCACGCCCACAGGCATCCTTATATCACCCAACAGTCGCGCTCTTGCTCTTCTACCAATAAAGAGAGAAAGAGAGCCCACTCCCAGGCCATTTCCTTGTTCATAAATTTATTCGTATCACCCTTTATGTCTTTTCATTTTTTTTATATCTATGAAATACGGTTTACAATTATTTACCGCCTTTTTTTTTTTCAGTTTTTAATTATTAACTTTTTTTTTTTTTTTTTTTTTTTTTTTTTTTTATAATAATTGTTTTATTAAGTGTTGAGACAAAATGTGAAATTTGGAAAAAATTGTCGGAGAAATAAAAAAGAATGAATAGAGAAGTGACAAAAAAAAATTTCTCTAAAATTGGCCAACACTCTTTGTAATACCTACAGAGTAGAGTGTAGAGGACCGAATAAAAATAAAAATAAAAAAAAAATAATAAAGAAGAAATAAAAAAAGTTGTGGACAAAATGCTGCACATAATAAACGCGTGGACTGTATTATATTTGAATACTCGGCTATTACGAGAATGAGGACAATCGTGAGAGATTCTCATGGATCGTATACAATGCCGGTCCTTTTGCCTCTATTTCTCCTCACATTAAATTTGCCCCACACATCCCATATCATAATCTTTATATTTACTTGTACATATATGAAGAACTATCTTATTCGTATTTAGTATTTCATTCTTATTTCTTATTTCTATTCTGTTGTCTGTTGTCTCTATTCTACACTTTGGCTAACACTCGCGGCAATAAAATACTTCGGGGATGACATTACCATTTACGTTATACTAAGTATCTTAAATAGAGAGTACATATTACCATTTCTTTCAAGATTTTATTGGTATGGTAGTAGTGAATAGTGAGTATATATTTGTATTCGTATTCTATTATCGTTGGGATATTATATCTCAGACAAATACATTATAGATACACAAGATGATTGTAAATGACGTGAGAAGTTCATTAATATGTTTAACTAAATTTTATTTATTGTTTACATCTTGTTTTTATTTTATCGTTTAATCATCATCACGTTTTTCTTTATTATTATTGCTATCACTAACACTATTTGTTATTTATCTAGTTTGTTAATTAAAAATTTTTTTCATTAATTTTAATTTATATTCCCATCGTAAAATTTTTATTCAAATTTTAATATTTTTAAAAAATTTATTTTTAATAGTTTTTAAAAAATAATTTTTACACTAATTCAAAATTGTCTACTTCCAAAACTAATCAAGAAAAATTTTTGTTAAAGTTTCAATTTTTCCAACAAATATTTACCTCCAATACTTTTTAAATTAACCAAAATTAGGTCTAACTAAAACAATCATTACTTTCTAGATATCACCTAAATTTGTTCAACAATTTCTACCGAATTTAAAAATCCAAAAAACCACCTCAAAAACCAAAAATGAACCTTTCGAAAAAAAAAAAAAAAACTTACATTTACACTTCATTTGATCTCGTAGAAAAAAGCACAGCTTGCGTACAAAAAAACAGCAGTAATAGTTAATCCACGTGTCGCACCGACCACTAGGCACATGTGGAAAAATAACCAAAGCACGTGTCACTGGCCCTTATCAGCCGCGGGCACAAAGTCATCACATAAACGATTAAAATACAACCGTATATAGTATACTGCACTTCCGAATTATAAAAATTATCAATAATCTACAGTCCTAGTCTTTTCTTAGCCCCAAAATAACTACAAAATTTCCGTAATCCTCCGTAATAAATTCAAGTCTCCACTGTCATTGAGCCACACTGTATTTCACTTGCTCTATTTCTTACTAAAAAATATTTACACACTTCAATTAATCAATCAATCAATCATCAATTGTAGCACTGAACCACTAAAACTTCCGTGGAAAGTCTAAAAAAATTCTCAAAATCAATGACAAAATTTCGGCAGTAATTGTTAAAAAAGTCACTTAACTTTAAATTAACAAAACAAAATGACAATAGTTCCCGACTAATAATTAAAAGTTAGTAGAATGTGTGTAATAATTATTAGTAGGAACAAGAAATAAGAAACAAGGAATAAGCGTTAGCTCAGCACCGCGTGGATGAGCGCGGAGCTGTGGAATAACCGTGAGAGAGGTTGGTAAGGTAAGGTAAGTACCTGGTCGGGTCCTCTCCCGGTACGGGAGTTGGAGAGCACCACGCCGGCACGCGACCTGCCCTCCCTACTTAGTGCTATCAGCTGCAGGCTGCACCAATACCAGTACCAGCAATCCTGGTTCACTCTATGTCTGGTCTATCTCTTGCTTGCTTGCTTGCCGTATTATACAGAATATAACCAAATAAAAGTACAGTCCGAGTCTCACTATCACGTTAACGCGTTAGAGTCGTTGTCGTTGTTGTTGTTGTTGTTGTTGTTGTTGCTGTTGTTGTTGTTGTTGTTGTTGTTGTTGTGTTGTTTGATCCCCTTCTCCCCCGGTTCTATCGGTACTACCTTACTCTCTCAACTCTCAGTACTGGACGCTCATCCAAGTAAGAGTTAGCTGGGCTGCTCACCAGCACCGATCTACTCTTACTGTACCGATCTACTCTCTCAAGTTTAGATAGAGAATGTTCTTGGTTCTTGGTTCTTGGTTCTTGGTGTGGTCCCACTTGTGTCATTATTCCGCGGAACACTCACGCCCAGCCTCCACTCTATCCGTACCACCACCATATAATAATAACATTGTCTCCCACCCACTTTTCTCCCGATACCACTCGAATAATTTTATTATTTTGCTGAATCAGTCCTCAACGGTGGCTTATGCTTATGCTTCTTTATCTTTATTATGCTTTTAGTTTATTTATTTATTCAGTAGGCATCAATGCCAGCGAGTGGCTCCGCTTCACTAGCATCTCTTTTAGAAATTTCACCCGTTTTAGGTTTTCGGCTGCTACCTTCTTAATACCGTTAGCTTGTGATATTGTATGAAGTTAAAGAGGAAGAAAAAGATGAGATGAATTGTTCTTTGCTCTATTTCAGAATGCCGGTAGATCAGGTTTTGTTTGAATTACGATGGAAAGTTAGATATATTTTATTAGATCTTGGCTCTTTTATGACTAACCGATAAATTATTTTGGCTATAAACTTTGGTTATTCTAGTTTGTTCAAGATTATAGAGGTTTTATCACTTTAGTAAAGATATTCCTTCGTTAGATGCGTCAATATTTTTATTTATCTCATCGCTATCAAATTATGCGCACTTGAAATATTAAATATAATTTTTTTAGTTCAAATAACTCCTTAAGCTTGTAGATAATTAATATGATGAATGAAACCTTAATTATAGGTTTATTAAAAATGAATAAAAAAAAAGTTAATAATAAGATTAATTAAAAAAGGTGTTGATGCAAAGTTTTATTACCGTATAAAATAAAGACGTCAATAGTAAGAAATACGATTCAAAGTCCCCGTAATCGAGATTGTAAGCCGAGTAGATTAAAAGTATACCTGAGGATCGGGATTGGGCTGGAGATTGCGCAACAATTGGTCAGATCTAGAGCGTCTTGACACAGTTATTGTAATACCTAGCAAGTATTAAACTAAAAACTATTTAAACAATCGACTTTTCTGTACCTACTGTAACTTGTAACACTCCGATAACTTTCAAAAGTTTTAATTCCGGAAAAGATTAACCAACAATCATTATTTTTAATTTAAACCCACATCTTAATTTAATCTATATTTATCATTTATTAGTACGTCACAAATCCAATTAATTTTTTATTCACCAGTGATCGCATTTCGTAATTGCCAGTTCAAGATCATAAACACTGCTCTTTAATTCTAAAAACATGAAAACGTCATTAGTCTTTAATTTTATTTAATAATATAAGTGCAGCGATTAAATTTAATAGTGATTAGAATTAGAAGCTCCTGCTTGCTTTGTTGCATTCAATAGAGAAAAAAAAAAATGGCATTAGCGGCTATTTTGACAACCATCAAGCCGATCTCTGACGTGAGACACGTGTAACAATCATTAGCATCAGCGAGCTGTCGTCACCACCCACGTAACCAAATGAAAAACGATTCCCATCAAAGAAGCTGCTGGTTAGCTTTCATATTCAATTCAATTCACATTACAATCTATCAATTTAACAATTCGGAGATTTGTGAGATACACAAAACTGTAGAAAGTAACAAGTAGGTCAGTTGTCTGATCTCAAAATCCCAGAAAGAAAGAAGAAAGGAAGAAAAAAAGATTGAGGGGCAATAAAAAAAATAAAACTTGTGCAAGAAACCGTAAACTGTTGAATAGTTCAGTCCAAGAGTTTTAGTCTGGTGCTTCTTGCAACTCTAGGCTCTAAGGGCTCACCAGTTACCGATACACTGGTAGTTTAATAAAAAAAAAAAAAAAAAAAAAAAAAAAAACTGGGTCAATTTGATGCCTTTGTAGTAGATTATTCTACGAAGAGTGTTTGAGAGCCCAAAGGATTACTTTTGACGCACGCTATTGAAAGGCCGATTACTTGGTCTTTTATTTGTTGGTAACAATACCATAGTTAGTGGACTATTTAACTCCTTGATAAAAGCTTGCTTAAACTTTCAAGCACTTGGGCAATAGTTTACGTTACTTACCAGCTTTGTACTTTATCAAAAGGCTAATAGCGGCAAAGCTACCGTAGCGAATCGTTTACCACCTACGTTGTCTTAATTTCGAGTTAGAGCGATCCCCCCAAAGGTCGGTCGGTTGACTTTTCCTGGACAAATTCCTGGGGAATTGGCAGCGTACTGAGCAATTTATCGTAGGTAATAGTGGTTTGCAAGTCAGCCAGTCCGCTTGTTTCTCTGAACCGTTTTCAGGCAAACTCCTCCGGGCACACTTAAACCTTAAATCTTCTTCAGCAGAACATAGCCATTTCTTCTCGAGGAATTTTCACACCACATTTAACTGAGCAACCGATAGTTCGGCTGGTTAAGCGTAAATCTTTGTTTGGTGATTGCTGCTATTTGGCAATACCCTTTGTTCATGTTTTACGATTAACGATGAGATTCGGATCAGCAAACAATTTTATTATTTATTCGGATTTATGCTTCTGCCTCGACGGCTTGTAGAATAGAACAACAGACCAGCAGAGGAAGGGGCTAGTAACGTAATCGGATGCTTTGATTGGCCATCAAACCGTTACGCTCTGCTGTGGGAGGAGCACCAGGTGATACGTGACATTCCGTATGCATAATTAATGTGCCTACGTAACTGTCATCAATGCACATGCACGGTAAAGGTTTATTGGTGGTACGGAGTTGGTTGGTAAGCTGATAATTCAACATTCAACATCCCATACCATCTAATCGAGACAGGATTAAATCCAATATTAAACATTCAGTGCGTAGGATACTCCAAGAAAATAATAATAAGAGGGTGTAAGGACGTTCGATTGTCGCTGCAATTATAAATTTAAATTCTAATTCAATACCGATAAAAATTTCTGGTTTATTGATAAGCTGACAGCTGACTCTTAACCTTTCTGGTTATTTCTAAATCCAATAATAAAGATGTCTATTCTATTTATATCGCGTTGTCAAGACAAAAAGTTTATTACCACTTAACTTATCGCTCGGTATTAAAATTAAAAAAATTTATTGTTTGTTTGCTTGCTGGACCTAGAGTTGGTCGTGACCTAGAAGCCTAATTATCGATGATCCTGTACGGTTGACTAGCAAACCATTAACTGGAATATATGACCGTTGGAGCATAGACGTCGACGAGATGACTAAACATCGGGAGTAACTAAACATTGGAACGTGTTCAATGACAGATTAGACAAGGTCTTGACATACTCGACAATGTCCGGGACAATGTGCAGCCAGCAGCCTTGGTGGTTAATTTCTTTGTGGTGTTGGTGTTGCTCTTGTCAACCAACCAGTTGATGCTAATATGGTGATCTGCTAAAGTGACGAAGCTTCGCGCCGATTTGGATACTTTGACGTGATTCCTTGATGAATTACTAAGCCGAGCCAAACCAAATAAACTCGCAACACTGGGACAGTTAATCACTGAGCATCTGTCGTTGACAGTTATCTCAGGTGGTCTCGCTGCATCCAAGACTCACTGGTGACTTTGAACTGACTTACTTGTCGATGCTCATTTCAATGTTGCTCATTTCAGGGCTATTGTTTTTTTTTTTTTTTTTTCAATTTAATTTGTTCTTCTACCTGCGGGTAGTTATTCTTGAACTTCCTTGTATGAAGGATTTGAATACTTTTTTTGAATTGTTTAAGTTTAAGTTTAAGTTTCTTGGAGTTTGTTTAGTTTTGTGTCGAATTCCCTTTTCCCACACGTGTAGACCAGCCTTTCTTGCTCACATTTTAGCCGCCTTTTATGGAGCACTGAGGATCCAAACCGTTTACGGGATAGCCCCATTTACAGGAAGGCGTAAGAGACCAGCAACCAGCAACCAGAGCTGCTCTAATGACGTGGCCGGGTTACAACCAGTTGAATTGAAGGGGAAAGGATTATTATTATTGTTGTTAATTCTTGGGTCTCAAATAATAATAAAATAATTGTCTAATCATCTATTCTCACGAGCATATTTGTACACCGGAGAGATTCAAATTTTAATTTGTTTATGGAATAGTGAATAATATTATCACCCAGATATTAGAAAAGATATTACCAGCGTATTCATGAGATTCCAGGGTGGGGTTCTCAAGTCAGAGCCAGAAACCGTCCGAGTTCTCGGTTTTACTTTCTAAGTCCTCTAGTTAGAGTTACAGGAGTTTGATGCAGTCTCTTTTCCTAGATACGAGATACCCGTCTGATATGACTCTTCAGCCAACAAAAACCAAAGATCCAATCAATTTCACTTGTCCCGGGTGATCTGACTCTCATTAGCCGTTTCTCAACGCCCAGTTTTCTTTTTTTTTTTTTTTTTTTTTTTTTTTTTTTTTTTTTTTTTAATAATCTTGAAGAAAAAAATCATTTTGAAGCACTTTGAATCTAGAAGAAACATTAGAAATAAAAAATAATTGTTTAAATGAAGAAACAAAGCAGCTGGATCTGGATTAGCTTTTCCTAGGATCTATCTTCTAGAGTGTGTGATCTGTTGCCCGGAGATATTTTTCAGTCGGTCCATAGCGCAGTCTGGCATGGATTCAGCTTGTTATATTAGATCTCTGTGTGAGCGGAGACCACGCCAGGGTGGGGCACTCTAACACGCCGTTTTCAGTTTCACTTTCTAAGTCTCCCTCCTTGCCAGAACTCGATCCCGTTTAGTCACCGGTACACGGGTACGGATTCGTGTTGGTGTTGTTTAACTTACATTGCCTGGCCGCTATCTTAAGGATTCAATGTTTTATCATTGCATAGGTGTTTATGTGTGTTTGTGTGTGTGTGGTTGACGTACAAGTCGAGGCGAGCCACCCCGCCCTGCAGATGCCATGCGCTTTAGATCGCCGGATGCATTCGCTATTGCGAATACGATCTATCCTATATACTCGCCGTACTGTATTATATCTCGTGTTGTTATGTATGTTAGATGTACCCACTGGTTTAGAGTTAGCTCCATACTCCATACTCCTTACTCTCTATATCTATACAACACATAAACACACACAGCCGAGGCTGGACTAATTTATTGCGATAAAATATTAAAACACACCCTCGTGTTTCACGCGAATT